TTGAATGTTTGGATGATTAATTTTCTGTGTAAATTTAATCAGTGAATAAAAACAGAGGGAACTAGAAGTACTCACTGTTCAAAGTTACTGAAGATGGGGTGGGTCAGCAGCAATACATAACTAACTGGTTTCCCAGTGAATTAGAAGAAGTGGAGAATATATGCCTAAAATTCCTTCCTTACTGGGAAGATCTGATTTTCCCTCTTAATATGTTCAACTAGGCTGTGCCTACAGATTGTTCTTTATTTTAGCTTCAGCTTATCCATGACTCAAACTCATCTCCATTTTACCCTCATATAGGAATCTTGCCATATTACCATAACATTTTATTCTGAACCTGCTATAAAGGCAATTAGTCATTCATTATAACACAAAAATTCAAAATTGGTTGCAATTATGTTTTCTGAATCAAAACCATACCCTTTGATGTGGATAATTTAAGGTTCTATATTTAAAATGCATTGAATGAGTCATAAGGGTAAATAAGAAGACCCTCCCTTAAACTAGCATTCGTATCTCCTGCATGTGAAAAATTTAATGGATAATTTCTACCTACGACAAATTTATTTTTGTGGTGGAGAATTTTAAAGAATGGATTTAATTAGCTGTAACTATGCTCAGAAGCATAATTTGAAGTGCTTTTGAATGAATGAGGAAAGTGTTTTCAAGAATAGAAAAAAAACCCTCTTAAAGTTCCCTTTTCTTCATTACTCAGCAAATGTTTATTAAGCACCCACAGTTTGTCAGGCAATGCACAATGTAATGATAACCTAACCTGGCATCATTCTACTCTAGCTCTGGTACTTAATTGAATGAGTTCATCTCTTTGGCTATCCATTCACAGTATGTGAGGAAAGACTATAGAAATTAAATGAATGAGTCAGTCTAAAAAAAAATGGATGTGGCTATTTAGGTTTCCTTTTGTTCTACGTGTTAAAGCAGGTTACTAGCTAACTACCTTTTCTATTTCTTCAGGAATCCAGGAATTTAAAAAGAATCTTATATCATTCAGGCAGTGAACTATATGCTTAATCATGAGTTTCTAAATGTTTATAGAGGTGAGGACAGCAATTTGCAAGATTCTACGGATATGGAAAGGAAAAACAGCAGAGTAAATTTAGGCAGATAAGGAGAAATGGACTTTGAGAAATAGTTTCCATTCAAAAAGTAATTTTAGACTTAATAATATAGAACAGGTTCAGCATTTTAGAGCTGGACCTTAGAGCTTGTCTAGGCCATTGGTTTCCAACCTTCTGCATTAGAGTCACTGGATTTTAAATCTCCCTAGAGATTCTAATCCATTTGGTCTGGAAGGGATTAGGAGAGGAGGCAGGCATGCATATATTTGTAAAAGTTCCCCAACAGTCAAAGCTGAGACCCACAGATCTAATCCAGCCTTGACATTTTTGGTATGAGGTCCATGAGGCCTTTATTTAATTAATTCATTTATTTCTTTTTAGGTACGCTCCATGCCCAGTGTAGAGCCCAACATGGAACTTGAACTTACAACCCTAAGAGGAGACCTGAGCTGAGCTCAAGAGTCAGATGCTTAACTGACTGAGCCACCCAGGTGCCCTCCTGAGGTCATTAAAGAATAAATAGCTTGCTTAAAATCAACATAGCTTCCAGCCCTTGGAGCCTGACCTAGAACCCAAATATCCAAATTCCTAGTCTGTATCTCTGTTTACTAAATCAACTGGCACTGTTTCTTACTTCTCTCACTCAGTAGTTGAGATCTAATTACCAGTTAGTAATAGAAAGTCCAAGACAGCCTATACCCCATGTGACTCACAAATCCCCCCCCAATGACCTGTGTGCTTCCTTTCTTGCTAAGTACTGAATAAGTCATCTGATAACACTATAATGATTAATACATCTCTTTATTCTACATTTTTAAATACTTCACTTATTTAAAACTTTTACATCTATGAAATATATCATTCATATTTCAAGGCAAAGAAAACAGATTCAATATTAGAATCTGAGTCCAATTAAAGTCTCCCTTATTGAGTTTATATAGCTGGACACATGAAAGTATTCTAATGCCAGGCTGGGTTTTCTTAGCCAGCTTCTTTATATGATAATGTTTTTAAGTTGAACATTTACACTAGGTTCTGAAAGCTCCGTGCAAGTAGGGCTCTTGTCCAACTTCATCAACTGTTTCTGAATACCTAGCAAAATGCCTGCCATAGACTCAACACTCAATAATTCATTGTTGCATGAAAAATTCTTTACTACATTTTTTTAAAGGAATGAGACAGAGTGTCCTGAACCAACTTGTGTAGAACGATCCCATACAGGGTGCCTGGGTGGCTCGGTCACTTAAGCGTCTGCCTTCAGCTCAGGTCATGATCCCCAGGGTCTTGGGATTGAGCAATGCATCAGGCTCTTTGCTCTGCAGGGATCCTACTTCTCCCTTTCCCTCTGCCTGCCACTCACAATGCTTGTGTGCGTTCTCTCTCTCTCTCTCTGTCAAATAAATAAGTAAAATCTTAAAAAAAAAGAGCAATCCTATATAAATAAAAGTACTGGGGAGATGATTTTATAAGGAGTAGTTTTACAGTTACTTTATTATAAGAGATTTTACCTGATTTTCCTGACATAAATTTGTCCTTGTTATACCATTTGGATTCCAGTTGGGCTCTCATTCATATTATGTTAAAAGTATTTCATTCACTTTATCTTTTACATGTGGTTGAAAGCACAACTGATGTGCAATAAACATTGATGAAATAAAATTCATACCATGTTTTCTTGTGTTTCGGGAAATATAAACGTTGTTATTATTTGGCAAAATAAAGACTGCAGTGTCTTTCATGACTCACAGGGGTTGAACAGTATTGTGGAGGGCAGTGAACTCATCTCAAAAGATTTAATCAATGACTATTTAGAACTAAATTTTAATTTTTATTATTTATTTGAGAGAGAGAGAGAAAGAGAAAGAGAGAAAGAGAGAGAAACAAAGTGAGAGCACAAGTGAGTGGGGGGAAAGGGCAGAATCAAAGAATCTCAAGCCAACTCCATGCTGAGCCAGGCTTGATATGGGGATCCATCTCACGACCCATGAGATTATAACCTGAGTCAAAACCAAGAGTTGGTCATTTAACCAGCTGAGCCACTCAGATGCCCCTAGGACTAAATTTTTATTCAGCAGGTCATTTCAATCTTACCTTTTCAACTCCACCCTTTTGACCTAATCACACGCTGAGATTCTATACATCCAACTCTACTAAGGCTATTGGCACTTTACCCTGAGGTTACAGTTTTTCAGTCTTTTCACTAATTCATATAGAAACAATCAACATAAAATATCATTGACAATTGTTAAGATGACACATGTTTAAATAAGGTAGAGATAAATAACAAAAGAATCAATATTAAAAATACTAGAAAACAAGTGTTGGTGAGTATGTGGAGAAAAAGGAACCCTTGTGCACTGTTGGTTGGAATGCAAAGTGGTGCAGTCACTGTAGAAAACAGCATGGGGGTTCCTCAAAAAGATAAAAATAGAATTACCATATGATCCAGCAATAACACTACTAGGCATGTACCCAAAGAATACAAAAACACTAATTCAAAGGAATACATGCATGCTGATGTTTATAGCAGCATTATTAACAATAGCCAAGTTATGGAAGCAACTAAAGTGTCCATTGACAGATGAATGGATAAAGAAGACGTGATACATACAGACACACACACACACACAATGGAATATTACTTGGCCATAAAAAAGAATGAACTCTTGCCAATTGCAACAACATAGATGGAGCTAGAAAGTATAATGCTAAAAAAAAAGAAAGTATAATGCTAAGTGAGTAAGTCAGAGAAAGACAAATAACATATAATTTGACTCATGTGGAATTTAAGAGACAAAACAAATGAGTGAAGGGAAAAAAGAGAGACAAACCAAGAAACAGACAACCATAGAGAACAAACTGATGGTTACCAGAGGGGAGGTGGCTGAGGGGGATGGGTGAAACAGGTGAAGGTGATGAAGAGTACACTTATGATGAGCAATGAGTAATGTAGAGAATTGTTGGATCACTGTATTGTACACCTAACACTAATATAACACTGTATGCTCACAATACTGGAAATAAAATAAAACACTTGATTAGGATGCCTGGGTGGCTCAGTCAGTTAAGTATCTGTCTTTGGCTCAGGTCATGATCCTGGGGTCCTGGGATTGAGTTCTGCATGGGGCTCCCACTGACCTGTGTGCTTCTCCGTCTCTCTGCTCCTTCTCTCTCTCTCTCTCTCTCTCTCTCTCTCTCTCTCTCATTCACACATTCTCTCAAATAAATAGTCTTTTTTAAAAAAACACTTGATTAAAAAACTAGATTGCCTAAAAAAAATTGACATAAGAAAATTAGCTGTGGTAGAAATATTCAACACCATATAGTGAATGTTTAATTTTTTCATATACAGCTGAGATGAACTAGAGGACTGGAAGGAAAACAGTTATACATTTAGGGAGTTAATCTTAGGTTTAACATTAACATTGAAGTCAATGTTAATGGAAGGAACTAGGCTGTGAATGGGCCACAAAATTAGAAGTTCCTAGCTCAGGGCCAGGTACACAGCAGGGATTCAGTAAATGATATTTTGAATGAATGAATGATGTGTGAGTGAATGAACAAACGGTCTTCTATATGGATGTAAAGTATAATATCGGGGTTTAGAAAACAGTCCATTCAAAGTTATGGATAATAAACTAGATTTTGGGAAAGTCCGTGCTGAATATAATGTATTTGTTTGTTAATTAAAATGACCACAGAGTTGTTATTCTTACTCTTAATTTCTCAGCCTGAAAGTTAATGAACTGAATCTGTTCCATGAATAATTGAGTTGAACTTGAAAGAGAACTCCACATTCCAAAAGCCTCCCACACTACCAGTTAACTGTGATTTATCCTTTTACTTCTGAAGAATTTTAAGCATCTTCCATCTGATTTGACTGACAACCAATCTGTGCTTTCTCTGTCTTTATTCTCCCAGGAAGAAGATGTTACTCGTGAAAGTCGTTTTAATTTCAGTGGTTATGGGATGGGTCACTGCCTCCAAGTGAAAGATGGAACAGCTGTCAAGGCCACACCTGCCAACCCGCTCCCACAACCCCCAAAAGATGCAGATGCCATCAAGAAGAAGTTTGTGGACCGGGCAAAAAGGATTGACACGATATCTCGAGCTGCCTTTCCACTGGCCTTCCTTATTTTCAACATCTTTTACTGGATCACATACAAGATCATTCGGCATGAAGATGTCCACAAGAAATAGATCTGCCCTTCAGACCCTGGACTTTCTTGCCTAACTGTTGTGCTTGTAAATACACAGTGAAATTGTCTTTATATCATGTTGACAGAGGAGGAGGCTGGGGGAGGGGGGGGCGGGAAGATCATGAGGGCAGGTTTCCTGGCACCTATATGAATAAAGATAAGTTATCTGGGCAATGAAAGAAAATGTTTGCACAAAATTAAAGTGTTGCAGAATCATGTGAGCATAATTCCCTTCATAGTCTTTAGCATTGTTCTTTCAGATGATGTATTAATTAGACATGATATGCAAGGTCAAGTTCTTGAAAGCTATTTGTCTTTGGTTTGGTTTGGTTTTGACTAATTCTGGTACAGAAAAGTTAGCTTAAACCACACACACACACACACACACACACACACACGGAAAATGCTTACCATCTGACCATAGTGACTAGCCTATAGTGAGTCAAGGACCAAACTTTTTCAGGAAAATGCTGCCTCGTTTTTAAAACAAGTACTCTGAGCTACGTTCTTTACAATGTCTGTAATTAGTGTTTCACCTGAGAAATCCTTTTGTGGGTCGTAAATTATTTCTACTTATTGAGAAAACAACAACAAAAAATAAACACCAACCACAAAAAAACAGATTTCTACTTTACTGTCCGTGTAGGTGTGCAATTTAATATTATTTTTCTTTCCTAAATGTAATTTGGGGGTTTAAATTGTGTGTTGTGTAATTGATTTGATAGTATACCCTCTTAAAAATAAATGCCCATTTTGTTTTAGATCCCAATCAGCACACTATTTTTTTCGCTATATTTACGTGTGACTTTAACTGCTCAAGTGTGACTTAGTCATTGCAACCTCTCGGCCACAGTATTTATGGAGATGGTGTGTCCTGAATGGTGTAGCTCATATTAGCTTGAACTTTCCATTTCCGCTCTCATTGTAGGTGTAACTATTAGTCCTAATGTCAAATGACCCATGATTTCTACTGTCAATCAAGTGAATATCGTTTTAAATATCCTTAACTAATTTAAAGAATTTTAAAATTGTACTGTGATTTTCATAACCCGTTGCCTTTTTGGTACCAGAGCTACGTGGTTTGAATCCTGGCTACATGTTTTAAGTAAGAAAAAAAAAAAGACGTATTTTTGCTTACTCAGATAAAAGACAACCTGTAAAAATATAATGAAAAAATTAAATTTTACATGTGCTGTAAAAGGGATTATTAAAAAATATTTGTTCAATTTCAATAAAGCTAAGTGTGCCACAGAACTTCCCTAAGAGTCTTTCCATTTTTGCACTACAATGTAAGTAACTTAAATGACAATGGTAACTTGGATTTTTGTTTCTGGTCTTTCTCATAATCTTAGAGCACTTACATCTATTATGTTATGTCCTAATAGAATAATAGCTTATAATGTCCCTAGGAAGAAAGAAAAAATACTATTCTCATTGTAGAAACAGAAATGGGGATGTGAACTACTGGTAGTCACTGTGGGCCAAATGTAATACTGGATACCTCATATAAGCCCTGAAAAAGTTCCAAGAGCACTGAGGAATCATGAAACATCAAAATGAAAAGAAATTTAAAAGAATAACTTGTCTACCTAGCCATCCTGATTTTTGTCAGGAATGGAGTTCTAAGATGAAAAAAAATTCTGAAAATCTCAGTGAAGTAAAAATAATTCACCTTAACCCTTATAGATTTTCCTTAACCAAAGATATCCATCATAATATTTTCAGATAAGATGCAGATTCATAAGATGATTTTATGGCCTTTTAAACCAATTCAAATATTGAATCACTTCCATAGAGAGAAATATTGTAGAACAGCTAAAAACAGGAATTTTGCAGATAGAAAGACTAGCTTGGCCACCTATCAACATTGTGATCTTGGGTAAGTTACCTGAGCTTCTGTTTCATAGAGTTTTAAGAGGGGTAAACTGAGAAAAATGCAAGTAAAGCTCAGTGTCTAACACACAGTGGATTTCCAATAACTAATAGATAATAAAATTATTATTATCATGAATAGTATTGGTTATCCACTGGGAAAGAAGCTTCACAATTCCTCACCTTGGCAAGATTAATACTATGTTTGTTTGTTTTTTATCATTCCTAAAACATGTCCTATTGTTCATTCCTTTCCAAACAAATAAGGCAAAGTATTGGAATGGTCTCATTTCTCATTTCACTAAAAAATAGTAAACTTAGGCTAAAATACCTTCCAAACATGGGCCTTTCTCTATAAGTGTCCTAGGAAGAGCCCTGATGTTGTGGGGAAGCACTTTGGGGGATAATCCTAAACTAAATCATTATGTCTAATCAATGTGTGTACCATATAATTTTGGGGGTGTGTGGTCCCCACATCAGACAATGTTAAGAAGATTCACCTCTAAACATATCTGCCAGCTACTCAAGCAGGCAAAGACATCCTGGATGGCAAGAGGGATTCTTGACTTATCTCTGATTCTAGTCTACGTTCAGTGGAAAGAATTCTTCAGTGCACTGATTTGAGTTATATAAATAAGATAAAATCTCAGGGAAAAGATTTTTGAGTGCTGCATATGCTGGCAAAATAGATAATTCCCCTATAATGTTATTGGATATTTCATTTAGGACATTTTTCTTTCACAATAGTATTTGAAGAAAAATAGTTCAAGAATAAAATCATGGATCCGAGGGAAGAGAACTTACCAGTTTTCACTGGCTTGGAAGTTTCTGGAAGAAAGTGGTTATGTTTTCATGGGTTCTCTGTATTGCCTACCAAAGCTCAAATGCCCAATGAATATTATTACTATAGCTAGGAAAAAGTTGGTGAGGGAGGATATGCTGTGCCTATTGACAAAGTTATGTAAGTTTTTCCCAACAAAGCAATGACATGAAGAAACCAAATACTGCTACCATTTTTCAGATAATGGATTATCGGGAGATTTGTCTTTTAAACATTTTTCAATTCCTGCCACTCAGTATTAACAACAGATCGAGATGACTTAAGGCTTAAGACTCTTTATGGCATTCTCAAACACCTTGGCCCCAAACAGATGCTACAAACCAGACTTGCTGTAGATTTTTAAAAATCCTTCCAGTGTTGTTAGCATTAAGCTCCTCATCTGTGCTGCTGAACAGAACTGCCAAATTCTGAAACCAAATTTTCCAATACAGATTAAATGAGTATCATTTTACGATACACTTAGTCAATTAATATCATATAAGAAGGTCTGTCCAAAACACAGCACAAAATCCCATATCATAAGATTCACAGTTTTGGGTAAAAATATTTTGAGAATTTTAAAAAATGTATGCATTTCTTAGTTTAAGCCCAAAGCCAATTTGCGGAATGAATGTGTCATGTGTCTGCCAGATATATTTTTTTAATCTTTCAGCCTCTGCTTTAAATTTTTTATTTTCACCAATTTGGGTTTTCTCAAGTATAATTTAAATGATTCAAGTAATGCATGCTTTTCCTAGATCACAAAGAACTAAAGATAACAACACAACTTCATACTCATACAGTACTTTGAACATATCAAAATGTTTTGATGTTCATAACAGCATTCAATTCAACAATTATCCAAGGTGGCCAGATCACAAAGAATCAATATCCATCCTTTGGTCAATAGATAAACAGAAGTTCCATGGGTTAAATGCTTCACTCAAAGCCACCTGTCATATTCGAGGTTGAATATCCAGCATAATTTGTTTCCTAGCTCCTCATGCTGTATCTGCTCACTATATACACCATGTTTAGGAAAATAAAAACCGAGAAAGTAAAAAGCCATGGTACCACTGACTCACTCTCATGGATGACAAAATAATTTGGTAAAGGAAGGTATACAATAGAAGATTTCTGTTGAAAATGCCTAAGAAAAATAGCTCAAATGCTGTACACAGCACTAAGGATATCCTCACAGAGAGTAATATCTTATGCGATCGATGGCCAAAGAGATACTGGAGGTGAAAAAAGATGAACAGAACTCAATTTAGGAGGTGTTTCTTTCCATTCTTGAAAGAGAGAAAATGACCTTCACATTGTCACACATGCCCCCACATAAGAAAAAATGCAATATTCCTACTTTGGTGCAAACACATTTTAAAAATAACAAGTATTTCACATATGAGTGAAACCATGTGATAATTGTCTTTCTCTGATTGATTTATTTCACTCACTGGAGGTACCTCCAGTTCCATCCACAAAGGGGAGGTGGGTGGGGGGATAGGATAACTGGGTGATGGGCATTAAGGAGGGCACATGATGAGATAAGCACTAGGTGTTATACTATATGTTGGCAAATTGAATTTAAATAAAATAAAAAAATAAATAAAAATAATAAGTAATATAGGGGTGCCTTGTGGCTCAGTCTGTTAAGCATCTGACTCTTGATTTTGGCTCAGGTCATGATCTCAGGGTTGTGGGATTGGCCCTGTGTCGGGCTCTGTGCTCAGCATAGAGTCTGTTTGAGATTCTCTCTCTCCTGCCTCTGCCTCTCCCCCTGCTTACACACTCTCTCAAAATAAATAAATAAAATCCTAAAAAAAATATAACAAGTAATATAGTTTCCCTCAAGCTGAAGGTAGTGTGTATGTGATGCATTTAGGCCAGGAGCCAGCATTTAGATAATTACATTATCACCTTGACACAAATGATTCATAAATAGGTGAACGTGTCTTTAAAAAGGAGAGCAAAACTCTGGGGTGCTTTTCTGAGGTGTGTACAACACTGGCCTTCTTCCAGGCATACTGGCAGGTGCCTGAACATACTTCTGCTTCAGAGATTTGTGTTTGTTATTTCCTCTGCCTGGCACCCTCTTTCCTTAGACCAGGAGTTACTAAACTTTAAGGGCGGACAGTAAATCATTTAGGCTTTGCAAACCATGCAGTTTCTGCTGCTACTATTCAACTCTGCTGTTGTGGTATGAAAGCAGTCATAGACAATATGTCAACAAATGAGTGTAGCTGTGTCCCAATAATACTTTATTTATAAAAGCAGGTGGGAGGGCAGATTTGCCCCATGGACAGTACTTTACCAACACCTGC